GAGAAAAACTACGTTCAAATATGTAAAAATTTGTGTCATTTTTGTCTTGAGTGAAAATTTTGATGTGTGAGAATTTCCTTATTATTTTCTGTATGGAACGGAAAATTTACTGCGTTTGCAATGAATAAAAAATATAAATGTTCGGTATTGGAAGGTAATTCGAGGAAAATTTGTAAAAAAAAATAAGAAGTGCGAGGTAATTACATATTTGATCCAAGTTTTTAGTTCTGATCATGTTTTTTTGACAACAATTTTCGAATATTCTCAGAAATTCTGTGTTCAGAAAAATGTGTTTCAGATTTTAGTACATGCTGAGCGGTTATAGACAAAAACACAAATTTATACAAAAAAATAAACAAACAAAATTATTCAAAAAAAATCCACTGATAACCGACGACATTCTTATCAGAATAAACGTCGTTATTTCGCGCTCAAGCCATTGGTATGGTCTTGCCTAAATTTCGAAGGTTGTTGAACCTCGAAAAGTTTTGGCTCAAGTTTATCGAACTCGACCTGCTTATATTTACCTTTCGGTACACGTCACCAGTTAATAAATTGTTTGCCCCATTCGCGGAATTTCTTTGCAAATTCGGTCGTTTTAATGATGGCCCGAACTTGCATATGCAAACTGATCAGGATAACGCATCATTTCGAACCCATATGCCACTGTTTTGGCCGGCACTTTCACCTGATTTTGGTCTGGGAGATTATGCGCGAATATTAATTTTCGAGTTTTGGCCCTCACAGGGTTCAAGACCTGCCTGATTTCGATATGGCTGCTTGACAAAGCGGCGTCAATTTAAATAAATATGTTTTTTATCGTAACTAATAATATCAATTTAAATTTTCTGATTTTATGAAGTGGTTATTATTGAAACGAGATGACTGCGGTAATAATTGTTGCTGTTGTGACGAGGGGTCATCGAACCACATAGAAATATTTTACTTTGTGAAATTACCAATGACCCTTTATCTCGCGAGCGTGTATGAGTCGCCATCGATTCATCCGAATTTGTTAACACTTACATTCTTTTGTTTTTCTTCGCGTAGCGTAAGCCAGATTTTTTTTAGCCACTTTTGATTCAGAATCGGTGTTGTGGGGTGCACTTTGCTTTGCTTTTCCAGATCGACACACCATGGAGGTGGATGTGGTGTACAACAAACAGTTTTGCTCGAAAATACTCAGACTGTTTCGGTTTCTAACTTAACTCCATCTGGGTAGAGTGCAGCGGTCCACATCAAGTGTACTTTTCCAGCGAACATCACCCGGATTTAAATCGGGTGATCAGTGCGGCCGCCTACCTACGCCATGCGCTCCCATAGGGTTGGGAGCAACAGTGGTCGAACTTTCTTTTATAGTTGTGTGATTCGTGAAAAATGGACAATTTTCCCGATTTATTTAATACTAACGAAACTTGGGGTGTAGTTGGTGAAACGAGCAACGCGAGGGATTTGTATCGGCACGATACCAGTTCGGTGGACTCATCCACCCCTCCGCCTCAACATTTGGACGCAGAGGAGCGGAAAAGTGCTAACTCTATTCGAGGTAATGCCTTTTCCCTTACCGTCAACCTGGGGATTCTTTTTCATTTTTTAACCGTCCAACTGTTCATCAAACTTACCTATAAATTTTCACTCCAGCTCGCATATGATGGTACTTTAGAATCTTTTTCTTCTCTACTAGTTTTCTTGTAGCTCAAATCGTTGTTGATTAATTTGCAAAAGCAGAAGACCTTGCACATGAAAGCAAAAAATCAAACAAATTGCACCTGCACTTTTAAACTTTTACTTGGTTTAGGTTTAAAATTTTTGAAATGTGGACAATTTTTTTCGAGTTTGTTTTTCCAGGATTTTATCAAATTACTCGTCAACGGTTGTAGCTACGAGAAAAATGCCGAAGGCAAAAAAGTTTCTAAATTGCTCTAAATATTCAGTTAATATCTGAGATTACAGAAAAATATACGCAAACCACAGTGAATAAGAAGCTAATTGAAAACAAAGAAAAATTCGTATTTAAGTAAAATACGACGAAAGAGCGCCATGGTTCGGAACTGGAAGTTTTTCGGTGGATTGCTCGACGCAGCAGCACTTTGAGGATGGAAGCCACTCGTGTTTGCGAAACGTCAGCACGCAATTATTTTACACGCTGACTTAAAGGATCGAAAAACTCATCAGTTTCAACCCCAAAAGATGGCAATTTTACACACTTTTTTGCAATTTGGACTGTGATTAGTTGTAAATGTCCTTCGTACGACAATATGAGGATGAAGAAGAGACTGTTAAATATGAATTAATTGAAAAGATAACCAAGACACAACGATAAAATAATGTCAGGCTATGATTTTCTTATTTCTGGTAAAATTTGAAGTTTTCGAAAATGCGACAATTTTGGAACTGGATAAATTCTGATTGTTTGAAGCGTTTTTTAGTTCCATTTGKTTTTTGTTCCATCTTATGGCAAAACTAATGCATTTTTGAAAAATTTCCTACRGAGTRCCAAATGGAGAAATGCAAAATTTTGGACAGTTCAGCTAGTCGCTTCTAGTTGGAYAAAAATACAGTTTTTTGAGMTCTCAACACCAAAAGTTYACATATAAACCAACTGGCTAAARTTTACAGGGTGGTCTCAAAAAAAYCAACTTTTTGGTKTTGAAGCCATTGAAGCTTTTCTGCTCTTGGTCCGATTTTAAGKATTTAAAGCTTAAAAAATCAATATACTGGGTCCGAACGCCGCACCGAAAAAAAGTGAAGTTTATCTGCGAATGTGTTCATTCATGCAACCTGGAAWTTTGAATTTTTTCTTTAGTCGACTGTGAAGTTTCAGCTTCAACGTGAGGTCCAAATTTTGGAAATCGGTTCAAAAGAAAACAGAGTATCAAAACAAGACAAAAAGTTCATTTTTTTCACACCGGTATAAACGAGATGCCCGAAAAATTCAGCAATTTTTTTTTCAGATATTAGGTCCATCTTAATGTCTATGTGGTTGAAATAGGGACAAACATTTGTTCGTCCAAGCTCCTAGCATGTGGAACTTTTGCTAGTTGTTCAATGTTTCATTTGCCACCTTGTAGAAACTTTATCTGATGCACTATTTTTTTGCAAAATCGCGCATTAACCGAAACCTAATTGCACTCAATAAGGCTTTAAACAGAAGTTAAATCGCAATTTAGTCAAAATTTGTCTGTGCAATGTCTACTTTGTTGGGCAGTTTATTTAATCATTTTTGCATTATGTTAACTACCCCGATTTAGAAAATCTTGAAGAGAAGGAAAAACATCTGGACCAATTCTGAAATATGTTAAGCCCCGTTTCTTTATGTTCCACTTGTTCATTTTCCGCTTCCTAATTTTATCATTTGTTCTCTTCAGGCAATTTTAGACACTTTATTTTGCAATTTGCCCTCTGATTAGTTGCAAATGTTCTTCGTACGAAAGTATCAGCATGAGGAAGATCCTGTCGACGACTAATTTTGTAATAGAAACGACATTTTAAAGTGCAACATTTTTAAAGTCTAGAAAATTGCAAACTGAACAAAACAAAAACAAAATGTATAAGCTTGCACTGCAGAACGGAAAAAAGACGAAATAACAATAAAAAGGCACAAATACACAATTTCAAAGAGTGAAAGATTCAACAAATTTTGTGTTTCGCAAAAATAGACTCTTGAAAAGAAAACTTCCGTTCTTAGCAAAATAGTTGCGCTTTCGGTGATTGGCCAAATGTGTCCCGAAGATTAACTGAGCCAGTCTTTAACTTACCATAAAATGTATGTGATTTTACAGAATAAAATCAGTAAATAATGAATACAGTTCACAAAAAATGCATTTTATGAAGTGAACCGAGAATCAAACGCTGAATCTTTGCTTTCTTTGCTCAGTGGCTGATTGCAAAGTTTTTCCATATGAAACTTCCCAAATTTACAAAGTCAGTGTTCGTGCAAACAAGTTTAGTATTCAGATCTCTTCCATTTAGAGGGTGGTCTCAAGAAATCAACTTTTTGCCCTTGGAGCGATAACTTTCTTGCTCTTGGTCCAATATTCACTATCTAGATTTTGTAGCTAAAACTCCATAGACAATTTAAGATACAAATTTGACATGTGATTTCGATGCTGCATGAGCTTTGGATTTCGAAAATCGATTTAAGGGAAAAACTGTATCATTGCAAAATGGTCGAAAAATCCAAAAACTTTTTTTGAGATTTGAGCTCTATCTTAATGCCGGTAGGGCTGAAATACAAAAAAAAACCGTTTTGTATAAAAAAAAAGAATTTTTTATTGTTTCATTTGCCACCCTGTAGAAACCATATCTGAAGAACTGATTTTTTGCAGAAATACCCATGAACTGAAAAATAATTGCACTAAGTAGCCTTTCAAACCGAAATAAAATCGCCCGCAACATTCAGAAGTTATTCCGTTCCAAAATTTGTGAACATTTCTCCGTGTAAAGCCGATTTTGCTGAAGAGTTTAAGCTCCTAAATGATGTTAACGCTGTTTCAAAATTCCGCAAGACCCATTGATAAATGCGACTAAATCGAAAACTTCCGCAACGTTCTAAGGTAGAAACATTAAAACAATCAGCAGGCGCATTAAATAGTTTATATTTGTGCAAGTGTAAGATAAATTGCGTTAATTAATTGTTTAATAAGACTGTATAATGTTTTAACTGTTAGTATTACATAAAAGCGGTTCGACTAGCGCTTCGGGTTCGACAACCTCAACGATTATTAGATTTTAATAGTCATTATATCACTTATTTAATTGTGATATTGCTGGCGGATCGATCCGATTTTGCGTTTTCCGTGCGTAAGGAGTTGCCACATCTATTTCGTCTAGACGGCAGTCCATTCTTCGGCCAAAAGAAAGACTAATTGCTGGCTTTATCTGTTTCAGCACAAATCGAGATAATACCATGCAAGGTATGCGGCGACAAGAGCAGTGGCGTGCATTACGGCGTCATCACCTGCGAAGGCTGCAAAGGCTTCTTTCGACGCTCCCAGAGTGCAGTGGTGAACTACCAATGTCCAAGAGCGAAGAACTGCGTTGTGGACAGAGTCAATCGGAACCGATGCCAATATTGTCGGTTACAGAAGTGCCTCAGGTTGGGAATGAGCCGCGATGGTAAGTTCCTCCTGCTGACCACCACCAAACTCATCCACTCCACCACTCTTACTAATCGCGCCCAGGACATGTTTGGTCCTTCGAGTGCGATCTAGTGCTGTTTCAAAGAAGAACTAAAATTTCATTTGCTCAACCGTGCTTGAGTCAATCCAGCAGCAATTGTTTTCAACTTTCCAGAATTTCAAGCATCTGAGTTCTGTTCTCGAAAGAAAAACTTTCGTTTTTACATGCTGCAAGAATTGATCAGCAACATTTCCCATACTCTGATCCTCACATGTTGCACTTCCTTCTTCAAAAACCTTCCCAGTTTCTCCGGATGTTTTTCTCAGAAGAACAGAGAATCAGTGGTTTTTTGATAACGCATAAGTCTGTCCAGAATTTCAAGCATCTGAGTTCTGTTCTCGACAGAAAAATTTTCATTTTTACATGCTGCAAGAATTGATCAGCAACATTTCTCATACTCTGATCCTCGCATGTTGCACTTCCTTCTTCAAAAATCTTCCCAGTTTCTCCGGATGTTTTTCTCAGAAGAACAGAGAATCAGTGGTTTTTTCATAGCGCATAAGTCTGCCTAGCCCATGTGCAATACTGGCTAATAAACCAGCAAATGACATGCAAAGCTTTTTCTGTATGTTTGCCGCTTTAATCACTCTTGCCTGCGGCTATTGCGAAGACAAGATACCATGCAATTGACCTACATCGAGAATCCATAACTGTAAAGTGCGAGCAGTTTATTAGCTGTTTAACAATATAAATTACATAGTCTAACCGTATACATACACACACACTCCTCGTTGGGATTCGTTATGTTCTTTAACTGTTAAAAATGCCGGTGCAATGGGAAAATGGCGTTAGATCACAATCAAATGAAGAAGATGAGGAATTCGAAAAACGCTTTTAACGCCGATGGGAATTTGTTTCGTTTGAACCCGAAGAACTTACAAACCAACAGGTGGAAAAACGCCTTCAATGCGAATCTGAAAACGCCAATCTAAGAATAAGAAAACGTGTCTTACTCAGTAATCGGCAATTTCTGTACAATGCTCATTATCTTAATCCTCAGTTGGCCCCGTTTTTTGCTGCCAGACATTGTCACAATAGCTTCAAGTGGTTTATCGCGAAAATACTTGTAAAACTGCATTATTAATCGCTCACACATAAAAAATACATATCGAAACCACGTTTCAACATGTTAATTAACCAACTGAATTAATTGGAATTATTTCAAAGCTCCGATCGATTGGGAAACGACGATTTAAAAATAAACGACTGAACGAATCTGAGTAATAAATAAAACGCGAATAAATTGGCCCACCTTTTGAAAGTTGCCAAATTAATGACGGAAATTGGTCTCCAAAAAAACTCCAAACATTCCCTCACTCATAGTGCCGAAAGTTGTAGAATCACTAGACTAAACCCACAACTGGGCAGTTCCGCAGCATCAATCATTCATCCTCATCAATTGGGACAAAGCACGTAATAATCCGTTTGCCGAGTCGTCCAGCGCTCAATCCACTTAACGCCATTCTCTGCTCTTTTCAGCTGTGAAATTTGGGCGCATGTCCAAGAAGCAACGGGAAAAGGTCGAGGACGAAGTGCGGTACCACCGAGCCCAGCTCAGGGCGCAGAGCGACTCAGCGCCCGACAGTTCCGTATTCGAACAGCAAACGCCTTCGAGTAGCGATCAGTTGCATCATAGTTACAATGGAGGGTGAGTATGACCCAATTCCTTCTTCTTCTTCAAACTTCTCAATCTCCCTCGATTTAATTCCCATCCCTCTTTCTTCTCTTGCAGATATACAACATACAACGACGTAGGCTCCTACACAGCGGCTTATTATCCAGGACAGGCGCCAGTCGCCTCCACAATGAGCTACGATATTTCCGCAGACTATGTGGACAGTACGACCACCTACGATCCGAGACCTGGCCTGGACACGCTCAACGACAATGGAGCGCTCATAGCAGGTACCCCTGATGGTAAGTAGCTACTGTGCATGTTTGATAGCGATCCAGCCAACTGCGCCTCAAATGTGTCCAATCGCAGCAAGCAAACTAACCGCCCTTACAATCACAGGTACTAACACGACCAATGGTGGCGGTAGTGGTTCTGGTGGTGGTGGAGGCGGCGGAGGCTCAAAGTCCTCCTCGAATCCTCTAACTCTTTCACCCGAGTCGCGTCCGTTTAAACGTATTGCGCAGACGGCATCGTCCACGAATCTTTCGGCAGGCACCACGGTTAGTACGGAAAGATCAGAAAATTGGAATAGGCACGGGAGTAATTACTCCAAGATTTCTTCGGCGCAATTTCGGGTTATTCTTTGATCATAAACCAATAATTAATTTGCTATTAAAGCTTAGATTGCCCCCGACGATGGCATCTAATTGAGCCAGCGAAACGTCGGCAGCAATTCATGTAGTTTTTAAACACAGGGAGAAATCTTGAAGCAATTCCTACCAACACTGCCTTCTTGAATTTTTGAAAAAACCTGAAGAAAACTGCGTTATTTTCGCCCTTCAAATATACCGTGCAGGTGATCTCTGTAAAGCAAGAGAGTACGGCTGTAGATGGCCTACAGGTGCCTAGCTACGTGGACAGTACCACTTACGTGAGCTCGCCCATTGGTCAGAGCACGTCGACCCGACAAGGACAACAGCATGCGGGCAGCGGTGGTGGGGATGAGTGTGAACCGGTTGTCTTACCGAGTAAGTGAATGATGAATGCTTGGATTGAAGTGAAGTGAGGTGTTGATCGTTTGCTTTTGCCTGAGGTTTAGTTAGTTTAGTATGYAGCTAGTTTAGCTTAGTTTCATCACAGTTTGGTAGGAGTTGGGCTTTCGTGGCCATTGCTGGAAACTGATGAGTTTTTCAGAAACTATTGTTTTCCTGGACGGAGTCAGAGTTCGCAAAACGCACCAGTTTCCYCGTAGTTTGTGCAATAATTCCTCTTGCCGCTTTAGTTAAATGCTTTATAGAGGGTGATTCTCGTTATGGGTCTAGTTATGGGCACAAGATGTGTTTGAAGAATTAGGAGAATTTTGCCATGCGAATCGTATCGTGTTGAATGGGAAAATTTACGCGTATTTTTGCAAAAAAGTGTTTTTGTGCTTCAGTCCGGGATTAAAAAATGTCTCCCTCCGAAACCAGATGAGACTGAAGCGCGCTTTTTTGCCTCAGCATGAGGAATAGAATACTTAAGATGTTCTGCGAGTTTGGGTTCAGTCAAGTCACTAAGCGGTTTTTGATGAATTTTCAAAGTTTCAAATTTTGTTTTTGTACCTCAGTTAGAAATTTAAAAATTGGTATTTTCCAAACTGGCAGGTGGGAGAACATGGAAGCGCGATTTTTTGCGTCAACATGCGGAAGAATCTTATTAAGATGCTTGGCGACTTTGGTTTCAATCGGGCCACTAACAGATTTTTGAGGAATTTTCA